GATCTCTTCTTGGTTTAGTTTTGGTGGTTCCCATGCTTTTAGATACCTGTCCATTTCTTTTAGGTTTTCAAATTTAGTGGCGTATAGGTTTTTAAAGTATTCCCTTATGATGTTCTGTATCTTTTCTGGTGTCTGTTGTGATGTTTCCCCTTTCATCCCTGATTTTGTTGATTTGGAGGTGCTCTTTCTTTCTTTTGGTTAACTGATCTAGCGGTCTGTTAATCTTGTTCATCTTTTCAAAGAACCAGCTCTTGGATTCTTGTTGATTCTTTGTATTGTTTTCTTTGTTTCAATTTCATTATTTTCTGCTCTGATTTTTGTTATTTCTTCTTGTCTGCTGGGTTTGGGTTTCGTTTGCTTTTGCTTTTCAAGTGTGTTGAGTTGCAATGTTAAGTCATTTATTTGTGTTCTTTCTGATTTTTTGATGTAGGTACTTAGAGCTATAAACTTCCCTCTAAGGACCGCTTTCAGCGTGTCCCAGAGGTTTTGTCATGTTGTATTGGTCCTTTTCATATAATTCCAGGAATACATTTATTTCTTTCCTAATTTCTCTTTTGACCCATTCATCATTCAGGAGCATGTTGTTTAGTCTCCTTGTGTTCATCTGGTGATTAGGGCTTCTTCAGATGTTGATTGTAAGCTTTATTGCATTTTGGTCTGACAGAATGAATGGAATTATTTCAATCTTTTTGTATTTGTTGAGGTTTTTTTGTGCCCCAGTATATGGTCAGTTTTGGAGAAGGTTCCATGGAGCGTTGAATAAAAAGTGTATTCTTTGGTGCTTGGGTGGAATATTTGAAGATGCCTGTTAAGTTCATTTGCTGTACGGTATTATTTAATTCAGATGTCTCTCTGCTTATTATTTGTCCAGTTGACCTGTCTAATGGAGACAATGGGGTCTGGAAGTCCCCTAATATTACAGAGTTTGAGGTTAATCGGTGTCTTAACATCTTGTAGTGTTGTTTTTATCAATTTGGGTGCACCAGAGTTTGATGCATATGTATACATGACTGTAATATCTTTTTATCTTCTTGGTTATTTGTTCCTTTGATCAGAATGAAGTGACCCTCTTTATCTCT